CTCTCTCTCTCTCTCTCTCTCTCTCTCTCTCTCTCTCTCTCTCTCTCTCTCTCTCTCTCTCTAGCTCGCTGCGAGAGGAAAAATCTATTTTTTTTTCAGAATGTTTCCGCGTGAATTCGATATCTGGCGTTGGTGTAGTAATGACTGACGTACCTCGTATTTATCATTGCCGTTTGAATACTCGAATGTTTTCACGTCATAAATGAAGCGCAGCTGGCTTTTAAGATACCCAACGCCGACGACGAGATTATCGCTTGAAATTCCGTTACGCTTATACGCGCACACAAGTCATTGCTCAATATAACTATATACGTTACTGTATAAGCATTACGTGTGCGCGGAAACGCAATAATTTTGGATTGTTTGATGTTTAACGGGAAATCCGTGTTGCCGCGTTGTGTCAAGGCGTTGCGTCATGTGTATACGAAAATATCTTACTGACAAGGTGGAGATTGTGCCGTGACTAACGGGCGTATACTCGCAGTTTCTACGTAAGCGAGTCGTGAACAAATTCGTTGATTGCGGTTCAGCCATGTAATCGATTTGCCGGTTTCGTGCTCGTGATTCGCCCGATATGCGTTACAAATATGTATACGTGTGTATATGTGCATTAAATTAATGTTAATTACAAACAAATGTAAATCATAGCAGATAAAGTTAATGTATGATAATTGCAAATGTTGCAACCGTGATAATTATCGTCGGTATTTGTGTGCCCTTGCAGCAATTTTCAATTACAAAAAGCTTCGTGAGATGTTTCAGTGCTATTATCATTTTACGAGAATCTCTAATTTATGTTCGCGATACCACCAGGTTTTTTTTTTCGAAAAACTTCTTGACGTTAACGTTCCATCATATCTCTAACAGAACTCGTAATGCTTTTTTCCACTATTCCTATCTCTCGACCGCTTGAATTTCAAACGTGGATTGCGTTTAAGTAGAAAGTTTAAATGGAAACGAGTGACGGGGAAGAACGTCGATGATAACAGCGATACATTTGATTTGCACTTAAACATCGCTAAAACACGGATCTGCTAAAAGCGTGATTTGACACGCGAAGCGCTCGTGAAAATGAATGTGACGTGAAGTAAATCGGAAACGCGAAAAACCGGGAGTCCCGAGAAACAGAGGGGAAGCGATCGACGTCGAAGGTTGCGCAATCGTGATAAGAATGAGGTATGTGCGTATGTATACGTATCGGTGTACGCCGCTAAAACGTTACACAAGCGATGTCGGAGACACCATCATTGGGCATTTGCAGACGTGGCGCGATCGTAAGTGGATAGTAAAGAGAAGAAAGCGTCTGGACCACTGGCCCTCTATTGGAGTCCAGGAAACAACTGAAACTGTGGTACTACGATTCTTGAAGAATCTGACAACCAAAGGCAAAAGAAGAAGAAGAAGTGGATAATAGACGATTCTTTCCTTCGCGATACGTTCGCTACCGTTCACGATATACGTTTGCTGTAAATCTGCTGGAAAACTGTAAAAATCGGAAAAGTCAAGGAATGCCGCAAACGGGTCAAGGAAATCGCTATCGTAGAGAATTTGCTGCCGCGTCGACAGTAAGCGAGATAACGATTTGTTTAACTTGCAATAATTATATCAACGTAATAATAAACATTATAAGCGATACTTAGAAAAAAAAATAAAAGAAAGCCGATAAGAGATAACCGAGTCATTATCTTGTCTATAAGACTTATACATTTAATTCCTTCATCATCATTGTTGTGCTTGCTCAGTTTTCGCTCGTTTCTACACTGGAAAGACCGTAGAGCTTTGCCTCTTACAATTCGTGACGATAAAAGGCTCGTTGGAAAGTTATTAATCAAAAAGTTGTGCAGCCGCATAGTTATCATTTGCGCAGCAACTTTGTTTGAGCATGATAAACATTGCCGGCCTCTCCCCCCCCCCCTCCCAACGAAACAACTGCAACTTGTTACGGCAACTTTCATTTTAGAAACATGTTATTATTAAGTGTACACGCAACACGTTGATGTGACATTAACGTTTATTCAATCCGGGACATTAAGCCCTCCCGTAACCGTTCGCTCGCGCGTTATCTCTCGATCGTGCTGCAAACTTCGCGATGTCGCCCGGCACGACGGAAGTTTTCCGCGAGAATCGCTCCTTAATTCGCCTAATCGTAAATCGCCTTATAGTCAGTTGACTCACAACCGTTAAGAAGATAGATGATGCGCGTACGTCAGCCACCTCGCTTGATGACATCAGCAACGAGGAAGTGCGGCGTTGTGCATAAATATAAGTGGACGTCAGAAAGAAACTGTTCGATTAATTATCGATGTTTCAACGTTACGCGAATCGTTATCTGGAACGGTATTTCAAATGGCAACGACGAAAGATATGATAAAATTCTATTCCTATGTAAGTTTTTTTTTTTTTTTAATTTTTCTCATTCATTTCTATTTTATTTACTCAATTCAATGTGGTCGTTCTTTGCTAATGCTAGAAGTTGTAATTATACGTGTA